GTTGTATGAATGCTACCCAGATCCATTTTTCTCTACAAACTAGCTGGTCCTACAAATAGCCAGTGCCTTGGAGTGTAAGAAATATTTTTGTAATATTTCATTGCCACAAATTACAACTCCCCACTTAAGTGTCTGTTTTAATAGAACAGTTTTTAAATAAGCAAATTGGTTGTCTAGGTACGTCCATGTTTTATACTTACATAAAACACAGTCACCAGTCAGGAATTGCCCTGGATCATCCCCAAAACAGTGACTATTGCCATCGTTAATTAATTTAAGGCTTTTCAATTCAACGCACTATGTAAATTAAAAGCATTGGCTTTCTACCAAAATATATGATCGTTTGATACCCGCATCAGAATTTTGAGTGCTATCCAAATCTGCTGTTGGCCCCATCTAGCAGCTTAAAAACACTGAGGCTCAGAAGGGTTAATTTATTCAAGGTCACAAACCAGGAAGTGGCAGAGCCAGAGTCTAATATGAGGTTTTGACGCTGGTAGGGATGATCCCCAGACCCTTCCTTATACTATTCCACCGACAACAGTGTCCTGTATGCTCTCTTGTCACATGTGTTCTGTCACTACTTCAGAATCCCCCACCTGCTTTTGGTTCCCTTTCCAGTTCCAAATTACCTACCCCACCTATGCTCACAAATCTCCAAGATTTAGATCTGAACAATATACATTTCAGTCCAGTGTTTAATCAAAGATGCTGACCTGGGCCTTTTGTTTTGGTTTTTGAGATGGTCTTGATCTGTAGGCCAGGCTAGATTAGAACTCATTCTGTAGCCTAGACTGGCCTCCAATCTGTTACAACCCTCCTGCCCCAGAGCTGAAAACCTTTATTGGAGCATTGAGAGACATATCTTTTATCTCTAGTGTAATAGAATAAAATGCATTGGCAAGAATAACTTTGGGTTTTTGTTTCAAATAATTTCCCCAGTAATTAATTTTTCTCATTTAGTCACAGGTCTTAGTTTATCTTACTAATGACTGTCTTATAGAAGCTGCAATTTAGCTCCATAGTAAATAACCATCCTGAAGACAGGAATCAAATCTGAACAAAATATATTTAAAAAGTCAAGAACCTTGTACTATGTATGACAGGCTTGTTACATTAACATTTAACATGTTTGATATCTGTCTATTTCTATATGTATTTCAACTGGACTTGCATTGTCTTACTGTAACCTTTACTAAATTCTAATTTGGAGGCTTGGAGTATAGCTCAATGATAGAGTGCTTACCTAGTATATGTACAAGACTTTGGGTTGAGTCTTCATTTTTTTCTCAATTTTTTCTATCTTACAGACTCAAATATTCCTATTAGTGTCATTTTCATGTATTTTTTCATTCAAACTTCTTTTCCCAGTACCATAAATGTCCCCACATTTTGTCTAAAAGAAACATTTCCCATCATTTCTATCTGTCTGTCTGTCTGTCTGTCTATCTATCTATCTATCTATCATCTATCTTCTACCTAACTATTCTGTGAGTCAGTGGGTCTCATTCTGTAGCCCAGTTACAGCTGGCTATATAGCACAGGCTGGCCTCACACTTGCAATCCTCCTGTCTCTATCTACCCTAATGCATGCACAATATCATATATAACCTTCAAGCACTTTTTCTGAGACAGAACCTTATGATGTGTTAATTTAGTGTGAATTTAATTTATAATGTTAAATAATATCAATAGATATTTTAAACAAACAAATCAACAAGAGCAAGGAAACTGTTTTTGTCAGCCTAAGAGTGAAATCAGTAGCATGGATGGTGGCTTATTCTGCTATACAGTTTAGAGAATATTCTGATTTATTACTTTTTTTTTTTTTTTTGGTTTTTCGAGATAGGGTTTGTCTGTGGCTTTGGAGGCTGTCCTGGAACTAGCTCTTGTAGACCAGGCTGGCCTCGAACTCACAGAGATCCGCCTGCCTCTGCCTCCCGAGTGCTGGGATTAAAGGCGTGCGCCACCAACGCCCGGCTGATTTATTACCTTTTCTTTTTAATGACTTACTCATTTTTATTTTATGTGCACTAGTGTTTTGCCTGCATGTATGTCTGAATGAGGGTGCCTGGAATTGAAGTTACAAACAGTTGTGAGCTGCCCTGTGGATGCTGGGAAGTGAACCTTTGTCCTCCGAATGAGCAACCAGTGCTCTTAACTGCTGAGCCTTCTCTCTGGCCCTTATTTAGCCATATTCTAAAGGGAACTGGTAGCTTGGATTTCTGAATTTTTTTCAGTTACACATGGCTAAGGATGCCTTCTGTAGCATGTACAAAATGAGCTACTCTGCAGTGCAAATAGGGATTTTGTGGTAAGAAATGAACTCCCAACACATTCTTATGGAACACTGACACATTTGAAAGTTCACATTGTTGTCTTAATTACAGCTCTGATTTGAAATTCTGATCTAACCTCTTTCTGATCTTAAAGATCTACAGAATTCAATTTGAAAACCCAGAGGCCTGGAGAACTATGGCACTGGGCAAAACAAACAAACAAACAAATAAATAAAATTTTAAAAAACCTATTTGTGGGGGGGCGTTGGGGGGAGGGCACGGGAGGAGGGGAGGGAATGGGAGAGGGACCTGGAACTGACTTGTGAAGCAACCTCGTTTCTTATCTAAATTTAAACTGGAAAATAAAATATTAAAAAAAAACCCTATTTGTGATTCAACTCTCTTGGGCTTCACAGGTAGAACTGTTTCACAGTTACTTTCCACCCCTTATAATAAAATACAGCACTTTTCAAGAAACTTCTACCTTGCATTGAAGGTAAATCATGGGCCTGGAGATGCAGCTAGTAGGTAGGATGAGCTAAACCCACATAAACTAAGTATGAGAACATACACTGTAATCCCAGTGCTCGGGAGTGGAATCAGGAGGACCTGAAGTTCAAAGTCACCTTCAACCACATAGAGAGTTCAGAGCTAGCATAGGCTAGAGACCTTGTCACAAAAAGAGAAAACATTGAGGACACAGATGGTTCCTTGCCCCCAGACTTCTTGACCTGGGAGTGTGGGCCACAATCACCAGGAGCTCATCATACCAAGTGCCACATGAGGTTTCTAGGTCCAGGCACTTGAGAGAAGAAAAGCAATAGCTCTATGCCATGCATTGTGGCTGGGACAGGCAGGGGTCAACCAAGCTGCCACCTGTGACTCAACCAGGATCTCTGGTGCCAGGCAGCCAGGCACCATTATGGTGATCCAGTACAGAGTGGGGAAATGGAAGAGAGAGACAGAGATGATAGAGAGAGGGAAGCAGAACGGTTCACAGGCTAGCAAGGGAGGCAGATCTGAAGAGGTGAGAGGGTTGCTGAGGAACAGGATGGTATGAAAAGCCTGCTGGCCACCTGTGCCCAAGGTGATGCCCAGGGCTAGGCTAGTACCAAGGGCCAGATATTGGTCTGAGGTCCTGAAGCAGCTGAGAGGGGCTGTGTTGGTGTCTGTGGCTCCGGTTGTCACTAAGAGCTGTGCAGTGACATGTTGGTAGCCGGGGGCCATGTTGCTGTGAGGGCCATGCCAATCTGAGTGACCTATACTGCCACCTGATGCCATGGTAACATCCTGACCCAGGCTGCTGCCGAGGACCACATCTGGATACATGGTCCTACTGCAGATGGGATATGCATTGATATCCCTGGCCCATGTTGTCACCAAAGGCCACATGGATGTCCAAGATCCAGGCTGCAACCTATGACCAGGTCTGTTGCCAAGGGCTATATCTGGATCTGTGGACCTACAGCAGCCAGGGTCTGAGTTGATGTCCATGGTTCCTGTTACTACCATGAGCTGTGTGGGGGACGAGGGTCTGGTCAGCAACTTGAGACCATGTGGGTGTCCAAGGGCCATGCTGCTGCCTGGATCATACAGAGCTGGGTGACCAGGGCTGTCACCTATGGCTATGGAGATCTTGCTGGGTCCACTGCCTAGGGCCATGTCTGGGTCTATGGTGGTGCTGCAACGGGGGCAGCCATGATAAGAAGATTACATAAAAATAAGTTTTTTGTTGTTGTTGTTTTAAATTGGCTGTCTAGCGGTCCTCTAGGGGAGTTATTGCCAGGAAATGGCTCCTGGGGGAAAGGAAGTCAGTTTCCTCAATGCAGCACTAGTGAGTTATCCGTACTACAGCAGACTCCCTACCCATGCTCATCCAGTCAACTGTGATTAAACTCAGTGGGTCAAAAAAAACAAAGGAAAACAAAAAAGACAGGAAAGTAGAGGGGACATACTGGATAGTGAGGGATCACCAGGAGCAGGTTAGAGAGGCCAGTGGGGTGAAAATAACCAAAAATTATAATATATCAATGTTGATATATATGTGAAATTCTCAAAGAATAATAAAAATAAATAGAAAAGAATGGTAACCTGAACAAGGGGGACCTTTTGGACCCCGTACTGATGGCTGGGAATCCAGCATGGGAATGATCCAGACCTCCTTAATGTGGGTGTCAGTGAGGAGGTCTAGGCAATCTATGGGACCTTGGGTAGCAGATCAGTATTTATCCCTGGCATACAAATGGACTTTGGGTACCCATCCCAGAATGAGGGATGCCATCTCAGACTGAACTCTTGAGGGAGGGCCTAGGCCCTGCCCTGAACGAAATGACAGACTCTGGATATCCCCCATGGAGGGCCTTACCCTCCCTGAGGAATAGAGTGGGAATTGAGTGGGGGGCTGGGGGCATTGGTGGGAAGGTATAGGAGGAGGGGAGGGAGAAGGAGCTGGGATTGACATGTGAAGCAACCTTGTTTCTACTTTAAATTAAAAAATCTAAAAAAAAAAAAAAAAAAAAAGAATGGTGACCAATCTCCCCAACAGGTCAGTTTCAATCAACAAGATAATGTCTTCCCTCTGCTTTCATCCTTACCGAAGAAAGTAGTCTCAAACTAACCAGTAAATTACGTTTCTATTGTGCTATTTCACAGATTTAACAAGGAACCTCTCCCTCTACCCCGCCTTCTAGACTGTTAAAGAAATAAAAACAAACAACGTACTTTCCTTTTCTTGTTTTTTTTTTTTTTTATTCGAGTCTTCACTTGGTTGATGTTCACAATGGTCATTAAGGTCCAAACTTCTCTAACTACTGAGGTAATATGCACCTCTTATTCTAGGCCTCTTTCTTGGTTGAAACAGAGGAACTACTCTAGGCTGACGACAGTTACGACTGAAGCTGGCTCTGCTTCTGATGGCTTCTACCGGAAGCTGCTAAGGGTTCTCCTTTTGCCCAGGAGAGCTTTTCTTGCAATGCGGGAGTTGAAGCGGTTATTTCGAGCCTTCTTTGTCAGACAAGCATCAGAGTTCCTGGAGATCTTTTCTTTCCTAGGAAGCACGCCCTCCGTTACCTTCGGGTTCTGCTTGTTGTTACCTTCCGTCCTGTCTGCTTCCACGAACTTCTGACATTTCCTGTCCTGCACGCAGTGCATCTGCAATGGCCTGCTGTGCTGGGGCCCCGCTTCGTGGAGATGGTACTCTCTGAGAATGTCTACCCTGTGCTGCAGGATCTGACATTCGTTCTCTAGCAGGGCTGCGATCAAATGCAGCGAGTGGGTGTCGTGGCTCAACTTCTTTACCTGTTCCTCCAGCTCCTGCTTGGTCGACAGTTCTTTGTTGGGCTGGGTTGGGTAATGGACTCGAATTTTTTCCAAGGTATCTCTCCTTTCTTTCTGGCACTCCTGATACGACTTCATTATTTCACTGAGCTCATTGTGTTGTCTGCTCCAGTGGTCTGTTTCCTGCAGTAACTGTTCCATGTTGTTCCTGAGTCTTCTGTATTCCCCACGAATGTGAAAGGACCCATAGTGGCCTCTTTCTATGTTCAGATGCATGCCATCACAGTCTCTCTTCTCTTCTGAGCTGCAGCGATCCCTTGCATACCCTTGCATCATCTTCCTAGCACTCTGGCTATTCAATATCATCTCCTGCTTCTTTATGTTCCATTCTTTCTCTGGGTGGACATTAATGAGCATATCTCTAAATCGCGTTTTATTTCTCTTACCAACACCTCTGATTTTAGGGTCTGACATATCCTCGGAAGTGTAGGCATCGTCAAAAGACTCTCTGACTTCTGTAGTCATCTCCTCACCGCCTGCTATACTTTTAAGAACATCTTTGATGTCTTTTAAGAGATTGCTAAATTTCTGTACCATCCCTTGTCTTTCTAGCGGGCGAATACTATCCTTTGGTGGTGGGAGGGAGCCCCAGCAGAAGGGGGGGGGAGTGATCCAATTTCAAGGAGGGAAATGGTAATCCCAGGGTTCGGTGGTCCTGGTGGTCCTTGCTTAACACAAGGAGTAGGATTAGGAGTTTGAGGTGGGGCAGGCCTCTCAGCTGAGCTGTCACAACTGGCCATCAGGGCCCGAGGAAAGCAGAAAGCCTTGGAGATTCCAGGAAGGACAGATGGCAGTCTCCTGTGAGTCGGTGGAGGAGATGGAACCAAGCAGTAGTTACAGGACCAGAGTTAATGACTGAGACCAGGGAGATGGTGTTCAGGTAGGTGACATCTCAGACAGCCTAGGGGGGAGGGGGTGGGAAGGGGGACCAGGAGCTGGGGCTCCATCTCCCTTCTGCTAGGCTTCTGGTATTGGGGCCCTAGCAACTAGGTCTTTATTGTGTCATTGCTCTTCTAGGGCCTGTCCAGACATTCTATTCCCTTTGCATCACAATGGAAGTCTCTTAAATTCCTGCCTACAGCTCAGACCTCACACCAACCTTACTTAAAGACCTCTACCACATTCTTGCTCCTCTCTTCTTTGCTAGGTGCTTCACCCTAAGGGCATTTCAGTAATTTCCTACCTCACCCTCCCACCCCCGCCTTCACTATACCACACTGTGCCAACCTCAACCACAGAGCCACCTAAGGGTATAGCTGAGAGAAACCCCACCAGGCCCTCACTCTTCCATGGAAGGGGGCGTTACTGCCCCTGCTATTATAAAAGAGTTAGGGATGTCTGGTGGTTTTGAATGGCTCCCATAGGCTCAAAGATTTGAATATTTGGTCACCAGGGAATGGCACTATATGGATTAGGAGGTGTGGCCTTATTGGAGGAAGTGTGACACCTAGGGTGGGCTTAGAGGTTTCAAAAAGCTCACTCCAAGTCCAGAGTCTTTCTCTCCCTGATGCCGGTGTGCTGCCATCCTTCCTGCCACGATGACAATGGACTAAACCTCTGAAACTGTAAGCAGACCCCAATTAAATGCTTCCCTTGATAACAGTCGCCATGGCCATGGGGTCTCTTCACAGCAATAGGACAGTGACTTAAACAGGGTACAAAGCAGAATTACCAACTATTTAGTGATTTTAGGGAACAAATATCAGAAAGCCCTCCATTCTAAACTATTCTACTGAAACCCAGGGGTGGTGGCACATGCCTTTAATCCCAGCACTTGGGAGGCAGAAGTAGGTGGATCTCTGTGAGTTCAAGGCCAGCCTGGTCTACAGAGTACCAGGTCAGGCTCCAAAGCTACACAGAGAAACCATGTCTCAACCAGCCCTTCACCTACCCCCATAAAACAAAACAAAAAACTATTCTACTGAATGTTGAGGCTATTGGAATTAATCAACAACATAATTACAAATTAAGACTCTCTCACTCCCTCCCTCTGTCCCCCCTCCCGTGTGTGTATATGTGTGTGTGTGTGTGTGTGTGTGTGTGTGAGAGAGAGAGAGAGAGAGAGAGAGAGAGAGAGAGAGAGAGAGAGAGAGAGAGAGAGAGAGAGAGAGAGAGAAGGGGTAAATGTTCTACCTCTGAACTTCATCCCCAGGCCTCCAATCGTGACTTTTTCAAATTAAATATGGAAGCTTTAAAATTGGTTTTCTGAGCTTCCTACTCTCCCAGTCAGTGCTGTAAATTTGGTGATTTCTCACAGTACCTGATTAAAATGACAATTTGTCTAAAATATTTGAGACAACTCAATCCAAAAAGTTGCAGAAATAGAAAGCTCCCACTCAACCCCCATCCAACAAGCATCCTGAATAACCAGAATAGAATTTTCGAAGCCAATGTCAGCACAGTGCTAGTATCTAAACTAGTTAATAAAGTGAAATCACTTAGCCATACTTAATAAAATCACCTTAACTCTCCTGGGTTACCCAGTTCTGCTTCTAGATCACACTGCATTTCCTTGTCGTGTTCCCTTCCTTTCAGGACTCGCCTGATGGTGACATCAAATTTCTAATCAATTCCTAGGGTTACAAAATTTAGGTAAGAATGTCCCGGAAGTGGAATGCCCTCGGTTTGTGTGCCCTAAATCTAGTGACTCCATTTGCTTGGGCTGTTGTCTTATCCTCTGTTCAGTTACCATGTTCCCCTTTGTGATTAACGGGTATAGTCTTGATATGTGAAGGTCCTGTCCCCTTCATACTTCTGTGCTGACTTTAGTCCCACAAGAGAATCCAGCCTGTGTTGTTATAGTATTATTTTAATGGTGGATTTTATTCCTCCCTCATTCTTTTTGTATTTACTAATAGGAAGCATTTAGTAAAGAATTCAATTAGTCATTTTCAATTATGTGTCTACACGAGCACGGATATATAGATACTTAACAAAATTACCTAAGTTTAAACACAATACTATCAGGCTGGGGAGATAGCTCAGGGGTTAAGCACACTTGCTCTGAAGGTAAGAAGTCCTAAGCTGAAATCCCCTAAACCCATATAAAAAGCCAGACACTTTCATGCATTCCTGAAACCCCAGAATTTGGGGGTAGATATAGGTGGCTATTAGGGGCTCCTTGACTAGCTCTGCTGGTAAAAATAAAACATACCTTTGTTTTATGTAGCTGTTTAATAGTTTACTATTTGTTTGATGTGTGCACATTTTTGTGTGCATGTATGTGTGTGCACCATGTGCATGCCTGCTGCTCTCAGATCCTGAAGAAGGCATCGAATCTCTGGGAACTGGAGTCAAGGGCTCCATGAGCCATTATGTGGGTGCAGGGCAACAAGCCTGAGCCTTCTATAAGAATCTATAAGAGCAAGTGCTCTTAGCTACAAGGCCATCTCTCTAGCCTTCTTAATAGCTTAAGAAAAAAAAAGCAGTATGACCATTAAGGTTACAGCCTTAGGTTCACAAGGGATGCTGTGCAAAATGCCAGTTCTAACTTTTTTTAAAGATTGATTTATTTTGATTATTATTTTTTTTTTGAGACAGGGTTTCTCTGTGTAACAGTCCTAGCTGTCCTGAAACTTACTTTATAGACTAGGTTTGCTTCAAACTCACAGAGATCCTCCTGCCTCTGCCTCCCAAGTGCTGGGATTAAAGGTGTGCACCATCACTACCCTGGCTTGATTTATTTTGAATACAATGCACTCAAGAAGGAGTCACTGGATCTCATTGTAAGTGGTTGTGAGCCTCTGTGTGGTTGCTGAGACTTGAAGTCAGGACTTCTAGAAGAGTAGCCAGTGCTCTTAATCTCTAAACCATCTCTCCAGCACAAAATGTCAGTTTTAAAAGTGACTGGTGCATGTGGAGACCAGAATAGTGCAGTAGACCCCCTGGAACTGGAGTTACAAAGGGTTATGTGTTGCCCTGTGGGTTCGGGAACCAGACTTTTCCTGAACAAGTCTTCTTCTGTTACCACCAGGTGGTGGTATAGATCTAAAAATTATAAACTGTGGCTGAGGGAATCAGAAAGAAGCAAAGGGAAACAGAAATGTGTGGAACAGACATGTGTTGGGATCTCAGAAATGTTCTTATCCATAGTCCTGATTTTTTTTGTCTTTTTGCTTTTATATTCCAAAGTTTCCCTTCCCTCCTCCCTACTCAGAACCCCACCCTTTACTTCCCCTCCCCCCAGTCCTCTTCTCCTTTTATTTCTCTTCAGATACCCGCAGGCCTCCCATGAATATCAGCCAGTCATGGCATATTAGGTTGTATTAAGTTGCAGTGACACTAGGCACCTACTCTCCTATATGAAAAGAAACACTGCAACAATTCATGCGACCCAAAATGGGCAGCTTCACCTTGAAGAGAAAATTTTCAGAGCTATGAAAAGGACAACAATACTAATTTAAAAAAATGTATTTACTTAAAAGCATTCAGAATGTCAACAAAACAGCTGCAATTTTTTTTACAATTACAAAGTGATATTCAGTTAACAGAACAATTATCTTCATATAAGCTGCATCAGAGACAACTGAAGATGGAAAAACAAAACAAAAAAAAACAAGAAAAAAAGAAACTACCATCCCCATATATATCTAATTTGTGCTGTGCACCAACAAGAACCTGCTTTAAATTTCCATGCCAATTACAACCCCCAGACTGTACCAGGCAAGGTTAGTGGCTATTGAAAATACCACCAGGACAGGGCTATCTAAAGACACATTCCGTAGTGTGTTAACTATACAAAAAAAGACATAAAAAGACACTGTACAGTTTAAAAACAAATCTTACACAGACTTACATTTCAATTTTTTTTTCTTTAAAAGGAGTGAGTTGTGTACAGGGGGGTTAAATGCTTTATAGACAAAAAAAAACTGCACTAGAACCAACTTATTCATCATCTTCTTCGTCTTCCTCCTCTTCCTCATCCTCTTCACCTTCCTCATCATCTTCTTCTTCCTTCTTTTCTTGCTCTTTTCTGCCTCGACCACCCCCGTTTTCGCTGCATCGGGTTGTCCTTTAGCTCTGTGAGCAGCAGTATCCTTTCCATGCTTCTCCTTCAGCGTGGCAGCCTTCCTTCCGTGGGGCTGCTTGTCATCTACAGCAGAGCTGTTCCATATCTCTCCCAGTTTCTTTGCAACATCACCAGTGGACAAACCAGGGTGTTCTCCCTTGATTTTTGGGTGGTACTCAGAACAGAACAAGAAGAAAGCCGAAGGAGGCCTCTTGGGTGCGTTGGGGTCCTTGAACTTCTTTTCAGTCACCCCTTTGGAGGGGATATAGGTTTTCATTTCTCTTTCATAACAAGCCTTGTCAGCCTTTGCCATGTCTTCAAATTTCCCCTTTTATTTTATTTTATTTATTTATTTATTTTTTGGTTTTACGAGACAGGGTTTCTCTGTATTGTTTTGGAGGCTGTTGGTCCAGCCTGGCCTCGGACTCACAGAGATCCGCCTGCCTCTGCCTCCCGAGTGCTGGGATTAAAGCCGTGCGCCACCAACGCCCGGCCTCAAATTTCCCCTTTTCTTTAGCAGACATGGTCTTCCACCTTTCTGAGCACTTCAAGAACTCTGAGAAGTTGACAGAAACATCCGGGTGCTTCTTGGGCTCGGAAATGTCAGTTCTAAAGGACTTGACAAAGTTATAGGTAGCCATAACCCATTAGAGTCTGGGCCACCTACCTTCTGTGAGTCTGCTGAGAGTGAGGTTCTATGGGCAGGAGGCTGAAGTATGTTCCTTGGAAGGAGTAAGCTTCCAGCATTTGCTGGGACTGGCTCCTTTTCCTCAGCTGTTGGAGACAAGCCTGTAACAGCAGTTCCATTGTTGAACAACACCCGAGCAGGGATTGGTGAGAAACCAGTCCCAGAAACTTCCTCTAAGAAACAACAGTTCAGTATTTGTAGAGAGAGACAAAAGAGGCCAAAATTAGTCTGGTCCAGAGAACTATGATATCTCAATCAGACATTCAGAGCCAA